CTTGGGTTGCAAGGATGTTATCTCTTGAGCTCTTTGTAATTTGTGTTGAGTAAAGCTTGTGTAATTTTCAATGTTCACCACAACGTTTAGAGGGTTGGTTTTCATTCTCTCACCAACAACGACCCTTTGGTTTTCACTACGCTCACTAAAGAAACGAACAATGACACAACCTACTCCGGACACTACCTCTCCAATATTCTTCTATAAAGTCAACAATCGTAAGTAAGAAACAGGGCAATAACAATAATTAATGAGAGCAGGAAAATCAACAGTTGCACGGCATCAACCTTCGTGCTTTTACTCTCATTCTCACCAAAAGCAATCAAATAAAGTGCACAGCATCACCCTTCGTGCTTTCCCTCACATAACTCTCATAATGGCACGGAATGATCCTTCGTGCAATTATAATCAAATCAGAGCACGGAATGTCCCTTCGTGCATAAATAATCAAAACATGGCACGGAATGACCCTTCGTGCAAATATAATCAAAACATGGCACAGAATGACCCTTCGTGCAAATATAACCAAAACATGGCACAGAATGACCCTTCATGCAAATATAATCAAAATATGGCACGGAATGACCCTTCGTGCAAATATAATCAAAACATGGCACGGAATGACCCTTCGTGCATTATCACTCTTCCTCACCCTAACAGTAATCACAACCAAACGGGGTGAGGGGGTAAACAAATAATAAAAAATGTCCCGGCAAGGGAATTACACTATTAACAGCTAAATCCCGGCAAAGGAGCAACAACAATACTTTCACATCCCGGCAAGGGAGATAATCAATATACTCAAACCATCCCGGCAGGGGATTAATCACATCACTTTCTATTTCTTTCATTTCTTACTCAATAGTCTTTTTATCGTTCGAGCCAACGCTCCAAAGAATTTACAATTCATAATTAGTCCTCATACTCTTCACATTGCATAGAATTTATTAATTAACGTGGAAGAGTCATAACAATATCAGGATAAGTACATACAAGGACCCACGGTCATGCTAGACACCGGTGTATAGATACTCGTCACCATGCCTATACACCGTGCTCGATCATTTAGCAATTAGCAAATAATAACACTCTAATCCTATTCCTTCAAGCCAAAGTTAGATCAAACACTTACCTCAAATGCTCCAAAATCAACTCAAGCCTCTAGTATAGCTTTACCCCTCGAATTCGGCTCCAACTCAGTCAAATCTATGAAATAATGACTTTACAATATTAATAATAGCTAAACAAACTAAACCCAATGCCTAAATATGAACTTCTAAGCTTTCTACCCAAAATTCCAAAAATCGACCCCGAGCCCGCTTGGTCAAAACCCGAGGTTCGAACCAATTCCATGTCACCCATTCCCCCACGAGCCCGAATATACAATTTGTTTTCAAATTCGACCCCAAAACGAGGTCTAAATCAAAGAAAATTGAAAAGCCTTAATTCTACCCTTTCCCCCCAATTTACACCTTAAGTTACATGATTTAGGTCTAGGAATTTGATAAATGATGATAGAAAATGAAGAAAACGAGTTAGAAAATACTTACCCAAGAAGCTTTGGTGAAGAATCGCTCTAAAAGTCACCTAGGGGCTGTGGAATAATCCTGTCACTGGTCTGTTTTTGAGCTTTAAAAATCACTGGGCAAAAATGCCTTCGCGTTTGCGAAGGGTAAACTGGGCAGGTCATCGCGAAAGCGTGGAAGATAACGCGAACGCGTAGAAGGAAATGCTGGGGGGTCCAGGTTTGTTCTATGCGAACGCGTAAAAGGCCAGGCGAACGCGATGGAGGAAGCAGCAAGTCTATGCGTTCGCGAACATTTGACTGCGAACGCGAAGAGGAAGTCCCTGGGGCCCTGAACTTGACTTACGCGATCGCGATTATGGAGATGCGAACGCGTAGAGGGGAACACCATGGGCAGTGCGAACGCGAGCCTAAGGCCGCGATCACGAAGAAGAAAAGGCCTGTGCAAAAATTGCAGAAAATCTGCTATATTTCTAAGTGCAAAACCACTCCGAACCACCTCAGAATCACTCCCGAGCCCTCGGGGCTCCTAACCAAACACACACGCTAACCCAACAACATCCTACGAACTTAACCGAGCGATCAAATCGCTAAAATAACATCATAAACGAGGAATCAAAACCTCAAAATCATCATTTTTCATTCTAACCTCATAAAATTCAAATTTTAGATATTTAGGTCCGAAAAACGTCAAATGACGTCCGATTTCGACCAAATTTCACAGAAAGCGCTTAAACCATATATAAGACTTGTACCGGGTGTCGGAACCAAAATACGAGCCCGATACCACAGTCTTTTAATCAATTTTCATTTCCATTTTCCTTAATAATTTCAGAAAAATAATTTCACAAAAAAATTCTTTTCTCGGGCTCTAGACCTCGGAATTCGACTCCGGGCATATGCCCGAGTCCCATATTTTTCTACAGACCCTCCGGGACCGTCAAATCACGGGTCCGGGTCCGTTTACCAAAAATGTTGACCGAAGTCAACTTTAATCATTTTAAAGCCACATTTTAAAATTTTTCACAGAATTTAACATATAATCTTTCCGGCTACGCGCCCGGACTGCGCACGCAAATCGAGGCAACTAAAGGTGAGGTTTTCAAGGCCTCGGAAGCACGGAAAAAGAGAGAAATCCGGTGATGACCCCTTTGGGTCGTCACATATTATTTTCAGGAGTTTTACTCATTTTATCATATTTTGAAATTGGGAGCTCGGTTTTGGGCGATTTTTTGAGGGGATTTTCAAGATTTAGATTGGAGTAAGTGTTCTTAACTCAAATTTGATTAGTGCTCATGATTCTATCCTTGATTTTAGCATTTAATTGATGAATCTAACTGAGAGAAATTGGCCGTTTTGGCAAAACTTTCTTAAAATGAAAAATAGGGATTTGAACACCGATTCGGAGTCGTAATTAAATAAAACTTGTATGGATTGGACTTGTATTCGATGGTGTTCAAAATTTGTGACTTTTGTGAGGTTCCAGGAGGCAGTTCGGTTGATGTTTTCGTTGGTTTATTGATTTTTGATAAATATCAGAGCTTTATTAGTTGGAATCAACTTATATAGTTGTGTTTGTTATTATTGAGTTGTATTTCGCTAGATTTGACGCATTTGGTGGCTGATGTGAGAGTCAAGAACTTGTTAGAGAATTGATTTGGCTTGTTTAAGGTAATTATCTTGCCTAACCTTGTGTGGAGGAATACCCTTTAAGATTTGGCCTTAATTGCTTATTTGTGTTATGTGAAAAGCGACGTGTCCATAAGGTGACGAGCGTGTATACGGGTGCTATGTGTGGTTTATGACCGGATTAGACCGTAGGCTATTAATATGCCTTAATAATAATATACTTTATAGGAAATATGCTTAAACAACTTTGTGACTACATGATCATGAACGCTATTATTACGCCCCGAACCTGGGGAGGCATGGCTGGCAACCCAGTGCCGTAGTGGCCGAGCGAACCACTCTGTGACTCATTCATTCCTTTTATAACCATCATGGGCCAATATGGCCACAACTTGTAAATGTACAATTATAAGTGGGCAAATGTTATATCAATGAACCATCGTTCATAAAACATGAATACATATGGGCCGTCAAGGCCTCTGACATACTGTACATAATAAACCTGTGTCTACAAAGTCTCTAAGATTATTTGAGATAAAATGGGATAGGGTACAGGCCTACCCATAAGTCTGTAGCAAAACTCTGACACGATGACTTATAGACTCGGCTACACTCCGAATGAGGTGGAGTCCTACCGATCCTTCGCTGAATGCTAACCTCATCTTCTATGAGGGCTCGTCAAACTGATTGTCTATACCTGCGGGCATGAATGCAGCATCCCCAACAAAAGGACGTCAGTACGAATAATGTGCCGAATATGTAGGCGGAACTCAAACATAGCAGTAAGTCAACATTAATTAAGGACATAGAAGAAACATGGAGTAAAGGACTCAACCTGTAAGTCAAGATAGCTCTATAAATCATGAAATACTTATAGCATCATGCATATGCGTATGAATTTCATGTCGTGCATAGGTACACGTGTTCATAACATCATCAAGACTTTGAGGGCATCCCATCATATCATCTCGATCACTGTGGGAAAAATTATCAACGTATACCAGCTGATCAGCTGGTGATGCGTATATAACGCCGTAACCTTTTTCCATATCCCATATACATATATATACACATATACGAGTATATAACGCTGTCCGAGTCGTGGATAAATGCACATGTATAAATGAATGCAATGCATAATGAAGTACGACAATATGATCTCTTGGAATGTTATGAGACTCGTGAATAGACAATATGGTAGTAGAACATATGGGGAATCAGGAACATACTTAGACATGCTTGAATATTTCTTTATAGGAATGAATAATTTAGATATCCTTAACTTCTAAGAGTACAACCACTTATGGAATAGCATTACATTTACGTATCGTTACTTAGGTCATGCCAAAAAGAAGGAAGGATTAGCCTTAACATACAGATTCCTTGGGTGATAAACCGCTTGCAAAGTCCTCATCATTCTGGGACTGTCACCCTTTGTGCCTGATATGAGATAAGCAAATCTAGGTGGTTCACTTTTCGCAAAGCCATTTGATTGAAATGACTGGAAATCGGATTCCACAAAATATCCATCCGATTCTGCTGGCCTAGCAAAAGAAGAAACCATATTCAATTGCATTTGATCTCTTCCATATAATGATGGATATAACCCAAAAATAGTTGTTGTGAACAGAGTAATAGACACAAGCAAGCTCACAAAGAATGGTATTTTCCAATATCTGTCGCCAAATACCCTTACCGCGTGAGAATTCAAATTTTTATCATTAAATACTCTTCCTGAATAAGAATTGGCATATTTCCTCATGCTCAACAATTGCTTCCACCAAATATTTCAAGGGAAAAAGGAGCCAAATTTCATGAGTTGGAAGCAAAAAGATTCTAAAGACTTAAGCTTTTCCCTTTGATCTTCTCAAAGAAGAAGAAAAGAATGGAACTTTAGCATCAAAGTGAAAAGGATGATATGAGGGCTATTAGTAGAAATGGAGGCCAAATTCTATAGAAAGCACTAAAGCTCAAAAGCTTCCAGATTTCCACCGACTAAAAAGTAAAATTCTTGGTTTTAAGTTTTACTATCCAAAGCAAACTCATTCACAATGACCATTACAAGTAAAACCAACCAACCAATAAAAGGAATGTTAAAAATGAAAGGACAAAAAAAAGTGAAACAACAATGTACGACTTGACTGTGGAGTATAGAAAAAGGGGGTAAAAAAACGTATGAAAATAAATTCAAACCTAAAAATCAGATATCCAACGAGCAATAAATAGATTTCCCAGCTCACCCTATTTCTCCTAAACCTTAGATCTAATAACCATTTGAGACAAATTAGTTTTAGAAATTAACTTTGTGTCTATCTCAATATAATGAGGGTTCCAAGAACCTGAACAGAATATAAATCAAATAGGTGGCGATCTAACCAATAAACAACTAATTCACCTAATTCTCTAATAAGTATGACACCTATGTAAGAGCTTAAGAGTCACCAAATGTAAATGGGGGTGCTGCCACGTGGGGATGGGGGAGAAATTTTAATCTTTATCTAACTTATTAGTTAATTAGGTAATGTCCCGTTACCCGATAATTAACACATTACACGCATAATTAAGAATTGTCTCAAATTACTTAAAATTCTACTTACTTTTAACACACTTTATACACCACATTATCATGGTCATGTGGTACCATACAAAATAAATACATACACTATTATTTTATTAAAACATCCATGTAAAAATACATATATTTTCTCAACTTCTAATTTTCTTAATTTCATATAAAGAGTAAAAAATTTCGTACGCTTAATTCTTAAAAATGGTAGAAATATAACCTTCTTTTCTTGTGAGAAAATACTTTCTGTCTTTACAATAAAGAAAATCTCTTTTTTAAACTTTTCTCTTATTATGTGTATAATTTAAAACATGTTCGAAAGTAGTAATATTAATAACTATATAAAATCATATATTTTTCAAACCATTTTTTTTCTTTACAAAAAATATTCCACTCAAAATACCATATATATACCCCGTAAGTTTAATAACCTTGGGTGTAACAGCTACATTCAACTTAGCCAAAGTCATGCTCTATTTGTTGAACACCCCTCCGTATTTTTATGTTATTGTCACATTCTTGTGCATTTTGTTGTCAAGTTGTGAGCTTACATTTTGATCAAACTTTGGTATAATTTTTTTTGTGATATTGTGGCACATGTGGACATGCTGAGCAGGTTGATTGTTAATCTGTGGAGTATAAGGGTGGCATTTCACTGTTGATGTTGTATGGGGTATAAGGATGGCATTTTAATGTTGATGTTGTGTGGATTATAAGGGTGGCATTTCATTGTTGCTTTTCTTTTGGCGAAATAAGGGTGGCGATAGCGCATATGTAAGGGAGGCATTTCATTGTTATGTGAATACGGCGAAATAAGGGTGGCATTAGTGGTGATGTTATGTGATGATATGAGAGTGTCTTTCTTGATATAGTTTATTTGTTGAAACGGGGTTGATATTTTTATTTTATACATGTTTCTTAAAAAGGTCTTGTATTTTTAACGACTTGCTAGTTGAATTTGACATGCTATTACATGCCCCACTTTTTTGATGATTTGTTGACTAAGATGAGTTTTTCTACATTGAGTTGTCATCACATGCTCTATGAAGACAGTGCGGAGGTCATTGCATTCGGCGGTCGCACATTTATCAAGTGAGGTCCGCACATATAGGTCTCAACAGAGAGACAACTGATGGACTTAAGCGCGGCCTCTCTTAGATTTCTATGGTTCGCACGATCAATGTGCGACTGTAGAAGCACTTGCCTTCACCAGGTTTCCCCAAAAATAAAACTTCGATCCGCATAAATTCAAGTGCGGCCACAGATTTCAAAATTTACGAACAGGCAGTCATTTTTGTACTTAGATTTTGTAATTACTTGTACAAATCAGTATAGCAACATGGTATAAACATTAAATCTCACTAACCCAACCCCATAGAGCATGTATTATCAACTACCCAATATAGATCTACTCCACATGGACACATGGATGAACTCTAATAATAGATGGCCTAAAAAAACGAAAATTTCAAAAATAAAACTAACAGAAAAAGTTAACATGAAATGAAATAAACTCAAAGGTTCTATTAATACTAAGGGTCATAAGAGGGAAAAGGAGTCGAGTGCGTCCGCACAATTCCATGTGCGTTCCGCACTCTTTCACCTGGTTCTGCCTTCTCTGAGCCTCATGTGAGGTCCACACATTTTTGAGTGCGGTCGCAGATTTGCCCCTCATTGAAAAACTTAAAACTTCAGAGAGTTTACATTTTCACACTTTGGTAAGCTTCCAATTGGGCGGTCCGCATGTGAAATGTGCGACCGCGAATGTACTTCTACTGTGGCACATAGAATTGTGTGGTCCGCACAAATAAAGTGTGGCCCGCAGTTCCTTCAACACAGCCATTTTTAGTCCACCCTTCTTGCAAGTCACACTCAACCCTGTAGCACACTTAAAATCAAGTTAGAACACAAATAACATCTACTACAAAAGAAAAAAGGAAAAGAACATTAGTTGTCTCCCAAGAAGCGCCTGATTTAACATCGTGGCACGATGCAATGCCAAAGCATCCTCAAGTGAAGTAAATGACTGCCACCACGTGGCTATATCCAAACTTGCCCAAGTAGTGCTTCACCTAGTGATTGTTGACTCGGAATACATCATTGTTTTTGTTCTTCAAGTCTAATGCACCAAAAGGTGCCACACCAACAATTTCAAATGGACCACTCCACTTGGATTTTAGCTTCCCGGGAAACATTCTCAACCTTTAGTTAAACAATTATACAAGATCTCCCACCTTGAACTCGTTGTTCCAATTTGTCATGAAGATATTTCATCTTTTCTTTGTACAAGGACAAACTCGCATATGCATGGTAACGGAACTCATCCAATTTATTCAAATGTGTAACCCGCAAGTTAGTGGCTACATCCCAATAAAGATTAAATTTCTTTAGATCCCACATTGCCTTGTGCTCTAGTTACTCTGGAATATGACAAGATTTCTCGAACACCAACCTGTATGGAGACATTACGATAGGTGTTTTGTAAGCCCTCAGATAAGCCCATAACACATCATCAAGCTTCTTGGACCAATCCGTCCGATTATCATTCACTATTTTAGACAAGATACTCTTTATCTCCCGGTTGGAGACTTCCACTTGCCCACTAGCTTGTGGGTGATAGGGAGTCATGACCTTGAGTAACACCATACTTGCTAAGTAAAGTGTCAAAATCTTTGTTGCAAAAGTGTGACCCTCCATCGCTTATGATTGCACGTGGAGTACCAAATCTTGTAAAAATATTCTTCTTCAAGAAATCTACTACACTTCTCACGTTATTGTTAGGTAAAGTGATAGCCTCAACCCATTTGGACACATAATCCACCACGACCAAGATATAGGTGTTTCCGCAAGAGCTCACAAAAGGGCCCATGAATTCAATACCCCAAACATCGAAAATGTCAATCTCCAAGATAGTTGTGAGAGGAATTTCATTTTTCTTTGAGATTCCACCGGCCCATTGACATTCATCATATATTTTCACCAAATCACTAGCATCGTTGTAATTACTAGGCCAATATAAACCACAACTAAGCACTTTGGCTGCCGTTCTTGCTTCACCATGATGACTACCATACGGTGAAGAATGACAAGCCCCAAGAATATCACCTTACTCTTCTTCCGGTACACACCTTCTAATCACCTCATCCGTCCAAATTCAGAAAAGGTATGGTTCATCCCAATTATAATCTTGACAATCTCTTTTGAGCTTCTTCCTTTGGTTTGAAGAAAACTCATCCGGAATGATTCCACTCACAAAAAAATTTTCCAAGTCCGTGAACCATGACACCTCTGTCATTGAAATTGCCAAAATTTTCTCATCGAAAAAGGAGTCATTGATTTCAAGGCCATCATGTGGCCTCCCCTCCTCCGCCAAACGAGACAAGTGGTCCGCCACTTGGTTTTCACTACATTTCCTGTCTTGGATATCAATATCAAATTCTTGCAATAAGCGTACCCATCTCATCAACCGAGCTTTGGAATCCTTTTTTCTCATAAGATAACGAGGTGCCACATAGTCCATGTGGACACTAACTTTAGCACCCATCAAGTACATGCGGAACTTCTCAATTGCAAGCACAATAGCAAGGAGATCTTTCTCCGTAACGGTATAATTTACTTGGGCACTATTCATGATCTTACTAGCATAGTAGACCGCATGGAAAATCTTTTTGATGTGTTGCCCCAAAACAACCCCAACCGCTACGTCACTTGCATCTCACATGAGTTTAAAAGGCACGCTCCAATTTGGAGCGGTGATGATAGGAGTAGTTGTCAACCTGAGCTTCAATAATTCAAAAGCCCTCATCCAAACATCATTGAAATTGAACTTGACATCCTTCTTAAGGAGCTTGCACAATGGGTTCACCACTTTAGAGAAATATTTGATAAAGCGCGGATAAAAACCCGCATGGACTAGAAAACTCTGCACACCCTTCAACGAAGTTGGGGGTGGAAGCTTAGAAATTACCTCAAATTTGCCTTGTCAACTTCAATTCCATTACTTGAGATTTTATGGCCAAGGACAATACCTTCCTCAACCATGAATTGGCATTTCTCCCAATTGAGAACCAAGTTGGTTTCTTTACATCTAGCCAACACTTCGTCCAAATTTGCAAGACAATCATCAAAAGAATCCTTAACCACAGAAAAGCCATCCATGAAAACTTCAAGGTAGTCCTCCACCATATCCGTGAAAATAGCCATCATACACCGTTGAAAAGTCACCGGTGCATTGCACAAACCAAATGGCATCCTCTTGAAAGCAAAAGTAACATAGGGACATGCAAAGGTTGTTTTCTCTTGATCCTCTGGAGCAATGAGAATTTGGTTGTAGCCCGAGTACCCATGAAGAAAGCAATAGAAAGCAGGGCTGGCCAATCTATCGAGCATTTGATCTAAGAAAGGAAATGGAAAGTGATCCTTCCTTGTTACTTTATTGAGCTTGCGATAATCCACAAACCCTCCAACCGGTCACCATTCTTGTAGGAATCAATTCATACTTATCATTGGTAACCACCATCATGCCCCCCCTTCTTTGGGACACATTGAATCGGAGAGGTCCATGAACTATCGGAGATGGGGTAGTCAACCCTGGCATCCAACAACTTGATAATCTCCTTCTTGACTACTTCTTGCATAGCATCATTGAGTCTTCTTTGATGTTCAATGGACGGTTTAGCACCATCCTCCAACTTGATATTATGCATGCAAAAGGCGGGGCTTATACCCCCAATATC